CCTTCAATGTCTCAAAGTGTGCCTGATTTGCTAACATTTGCTAAAGCCTGCGATCAAAAATCAGAGATTGCAATATGATGTTAAACATTAAATCATGTTTAAAATCATGTTAAAAAATTGTCATCAAATTCTAAATTCAAAGACAAAGCAAACTTTGTTGTGCTCAAGGGGAAATCTGGTGTGAATTCCCTGAACTATTAATAAACATTGCATTTTTACAGGCACAAATGAATTATACCTATTTGAATTTAAAATGTGGAACTTTATAGCTTCTCCCAGAAGGAAGTAATTCATACTGTAAGTACAAATCTTGAGATGGATCACTCAGTTTTTTCTTCACCTGGCTAAGTATAAAGTGCTCATATAAAAACCGAAGCTTGTACTATTCTCTCCGCTCCATTATTCTCCTTCCTGTCTGTACTAAGTGCTTTAAGCTTCACAGATACCCTGTACCCGACAATACTTTCTAAAACAGCCTGATAAAACAAACATATCTTCTGATCAACAGGGCCGTCCATATGGGTGGTGCAACATATATATAAAGATAATTCTGTCAGGACCACTATCGTCAAAATGATAGATACTTAGCATAAAGTTTGGTTTGGCGGTATGGTTCTGTTCTGGGCAAAAATCTCCCTGCCCATCCATGCAGCCTGTCATGAATGAGCAGGGAGAGCAGCAATAATAACCCCCCTAGGGTTAACAGAACAGAACAAGGCAGATATCATTAATGTACTTGATATTTAAGTGTAACACTTTATTCAAGATAAAGGAGTCTGATTAGCAAGGAATATCAGAAAGCCAAGTCCTGACTGTGGTGAAAGGAGGAGCTGGGGATGGAGGAGGGTAATTTGCTCCGAAGCAAGCTAAAAAGCTGCTGAATAATACTGAATAGAGCTTATATAGGAATGCCGCGATAGGTGTCGTATTCCTATAGGTAGATGTGATCAGCTGAGAATCAACTGATGCAAGCTTGACTCACGTGACCTGCCAGAGCTAACGCTGACGCTTAATTTATTTCACAATAAGGCCAGCAATATTAAGTATTAAGAAGTTTGATTTGAGGTTGACTCTAATCATACAGTATATATTTATATTTATCATTTATATAATATAAGTCACTACTACTGTCTGCAGTCAAGCCAAGGCCATGTGAAAAAAAATTAAGAGTAACAATCAAAATATAATGTAGCCGTTTGTAAATATGGGCTGTACAGGCTTTAATATAAAACATTATGTATGTCCATCTTCAATACATCACTGTAACATTTATAAATGGTCTGTACAAGACTAATAAGACTCTTCTGTGGTTTGTTTTTCATCAAAGGCCAATTTTCAGCTCTTGAAACTCTTGAAAAAAAAAGTTTGGAGTAGTATTTTGATGGCGTGAGATGAGTGTGCAGCTGCCAGCAGTATGTCAGTTATGTAAATTTCAGGTGTTTCAGCCAAATGCTTAAACCGTTCTGCTCATTGTACTACACAATGATATCACCAATAACGTCCAATGAAAATGAGTTTCCATTATTTTTATCACTGGAGTGTTTGGATTAAATATTCAGGATACAAACCTAATTTTGTGTCAGTGTGTGTGTGTGTGTG